GGTAGGGGGCTGTGGCCAATGGGGAGACCCTGTGCTGCCCACCCTGGGAGGTGCCATCTCTTAGTCCATCCCCCCGCCTGGTGTGGGTCCCCATCTTGGCTCCCACACCTGAGCTATCCCCATCTATGAGTGGCATGGCTTCCCTAAAGTCACTTGCCCCCTGAGCACCCCCAATCTGCTCAGAGATGGAAAGGAGGGGAGGCTTCCCACCTGGGGATGGGCTGGGACGTGGGTACCACAGGGACGAACTTGGGGCAGTTGGCCATCTGCTCCTGGACCTTCAGGCAGGAGGAAATGTGCACTCTCATCTTCGCCAGGGTGACCTAGGAGACAGGCAGGGAGGTGAGGCTGGCTCAGTCTGCAGCCGTGGCCACGCCTTCTGCTCCTAGAGACCTGGAGGCCCTAGCAGCTGCATTCCAGCAAGGGGAAGGGGCATACCTGCTGAGGGAACCAACTGGAGACACCCCAACAAGTCACCTCTGCTGGAGGGAGCACCCCAGCAGGACACCTCTGCTGGAGGGAGAGCCCCAGCAGGACACCTCTGCTGGAGGGAGCGCCCCAACAGGACACCCCTTCCAGCTGGCCAATCCCAGTCGCCTTGCGCTAGCACCTCAGTCTCCCCTGGCAATTGGACAAGGTGGCAGGCTCTGCAGCCTGAAGCCTCCCCTCCCGCCCTGCCCCAGGAGGTCAAGCGCTCTGCCCCCAGAGGTCAAGCGTGTACCTTTTTGTGGCAGCCCCGGCAGGGTGCCTTGTAGGAGGACAGCTGCTTCTCCACATGTGCAGCCTTGTCCACTTTCTTTGGGTCAAAGGGCAGGCGGCAGAGCGGGCACAGGGGGGATGGCACCTGCAGGCACGGCTGGAGACACTCCCCACAGAACCTGCAGGGGACATGGGCCTGAGGGCTGGTGGCCAGCACGGGTCTCATGCACTAGCACACAGGACTAGCTGTTCAAACATTCCTGGAGATGACTATGCCCGTGCCCAAGGCCCACCAGAAGGATGGGCACCATCTGGCTAAAAGATGAGCAGGGTCCCCTCCCAGCAATGGGGCTGCTGTGTTCTAAGGCTGGGCAGAGTCACGGCTTCAGCCTCCAGCACACGTGACCCTACAGGAGGGGGAGGTTCTGTCCCATGGGCTCCTAGTCACGGTGACAACAGAACCTCAGAGGGCAGGGGACAGCCTAGGGGCACAGAGAGTAAAATCACTAACAATTGTGGGAAGGGCCCTGGACTCACTGGACAGCACAGAGCTGAAGCTGGCCAGTTTGTCAACTGGGGACAGCTTCCTCGGCAGGAGGGGCTCAGTGACAGGAAGGGCTGTACTTGGGCTGGCTCAGGTACTGGACACACACTCAAGGCAGAGGTCCCCTGTGGCCCCTGAGCTCTAGCCAACATCACCTGGAGAGACTGTCCAGAGCCCTGCTTGCTGGCAGCAGGGGCCTGGCCTGGCATGCCCACACTCCAGCCTGCGTTCACAACACTTCCACCTGCCGCCTGCCAGGAGGGGGCGCCAGCTGCACAGGATGACCTCAGCACAGCTTCACCAGCAGCACTGTGGGGACAGCCCGCTCAACAAAGCACCTGAACACAAGGACACAGAGTGCGACTCCAGCCCTGAGGACGGAGCTCAGTTGGAGGAGGCAGAGCTGGCCCAGCCCCAACAGAAAGATGGAGACTTTGCAGACTGCAGGAAGTTCCCTGCACGCTGAGCAGGCTGGCCATGGGGTAAGGACGGGGAAGCCAGGCTGGACAGAGGGGATGTGGGAACGGTCCTGAATTTAGAGATGACTCAGTTAAGGTTAAGGTCAGAGTTCCTCACATGATCTCATCCCCTCTCAAGAGAAGGTCCTTCTTGTGGTGCCCAGAGCTTGAGGCACCTTCGTCCCTCTTCCTGCCTTCTGCCACCTGGCTAGTCAGATTATCCTACACCTGAAAGGGGCAAGACTCACCCTAAGACCTAAGGACTTCCAGGACACAAAAGTTCCTATGAGCCTTTCCTGCAGAGTAGAGGGCCTCAGTCACTTCCTCCGAGTGGGGTGGGGGTCTCGCCAGCACCACGTACCACCCCCAGTGCTGTCCCTGGCCCCAGGGTTTGGTGAGCCTGAGGAAGGGGCTGGCAAGGCCAGTCACAGGTGTTCATGGTGGCAGACAGTGGCAGCATCCAGCTGTCCAACAGCGTGTAGATGTGACACTCGTGGAGGAAACGTGAGAGGAGCAAAGCACCGATATACATGGGCCTGCTCGGGCCTCGCCTGCTCAAGGCAGAGGTCCCCTGTGGCCCCTGAGCTCTAGCCAAGGGCGACACCAAGGCCATGTGCTGTGGACGGGGCTGCCATACGAAGTTCCAGCAGACACACCCAACGATGGAGGCAGACCTGCAGCGGCCAGGGCTGGGGAGGACAGTGTACACTGGGCTCCTTTCCAGGGCGGAGTGTTCTACACCATGGGGAGTTTGTGTGACTGTGTGAACGCACTGGCTTCCATCTCAGTGGAATCCTTACTACCCATAGCAGGCAGGGCCACACGAAAAGGTCAGGCTGAGTGGCAGCCACTTCTTCCAGAAGGCAGCATGCCCTGTACTCCTGTGCAGGATGCAAGAAAGCTCAGGAGGAACCTGATCCACCTGTGGGGTGACTCCTGAGTCACAGCCCTTTAGGAGCAGAAAGCAGACTAGAACACTCACAGATAAGGCACAGCTCTTGACCAGGTGTGAGTGACTACCACCCTGGCACACGTGGGCCAGCAGCCGCAAGCAGCAGCTTCCCCCACAGAAAGTCCCCCTGCGTCTGCTTAGGGTCCTCTGCAGCCCAGTAAGGTGGCTGAGAACGGTGGGAGTGGGGCCAACTTGCCTAGCATTTGGGACTGCCCAGGATGGGCTGCAGGTCAAATGGCACCAACCAATGTCACTTTGCCCTGGGCTCCTGTACACACCAGGGAGCTAGGAAGGGCCAATTTCAGAGAGCCACAAGGCTATCAGGCCTGTCTTCTCAGGCAAGCCTGACAGCTGTCCCAGCGCAGGCTGCCTTACAAAGGCTTCCTGGGCAGCCTCATGGTTGTGTGTGTCCTGGCCCACTTGCTTCTGGACTGGATATGGCTCACACCCTAGGCTGTTCCTTAGGCAGCAGGCAATAGCTCCTTTGGGGCCCTAAGGCAATGTCTGCGAGCTGCTCCATTGAGGTTCCTCTTGCCCAAAGCTCAGGCTTGAAGACTCCCCTACCATCACCTCCTCTGCCTCCAGGCAGGGCCCCTCTCACCACAGGGAAGCCAGTCTTCAGAAGGGAAATGGCTCTGGAGCTCAAGGCAAGGAAAGAATCAGACCATCAGTGAACTTTTAACAAGGTGACAGGATGTGCCCTTAAACCTTCTGTGTTCATCTGCACACCTCTCTCAGTTGCACCTGACAGACAAAGGAAGTCAGAGGCAGGCAACAGCCAAGAAATGAAGCCAGCAAAGTGGGAGGAAATCTTTTCAAGGCAGAGGCCACACAAAGGGTTCTTAAGGATCAGCAATGAGAAGAGCTGACAAGAAAGATGCTTCTCAGTCCCATGGAGTCTCCATCCTGTCATGCAGCTCTCATTTTAAGAAAAGACCAATTTTGGAAAAGAGAAAGGGAAAACACTGATTTGTACAGATTGAGAAACCAAAAGGCTGTGGCCCACATCACGGTGAAGGTGCTGGTTCCGGGGAGACACTGCTCCAAACCTATAAAGGGTTTCCAAAATGCAGACAAGCCTCACAGTCCTCTCAACCACAGTCTGGAAAATGCAGAAGGCAACACACCTACTAGCGTGTGCTCACAAGAAACAAGTCTCTATCAGAGCCTGTCCTGCCAAAATGTCACAGCCAAGCAACTGAGTAGGAGCAGGGCACCACTCTCTGGTATAAGCAAGTGTCTGTGCTGCCTGACACCAGGGGGCAGGAACGTGAGGCAGCTCTGGATCCTGACACCATCCTCATCCTTGGATGACAAGCAGGCACACACGCCCACCCAGCAGTTCCAGTTCCTTCTCTGCAGCAGGAGCCTCCAGACAGCTGCCTTTGTTTGCAAAATGTTCTAGGGCTTCCTACCATGCTGGGTGCACCTTGCCCACCCCCACTCCCTGGAACCAGCACCCAGCTTCCTCAGCAGCATGGCCACTGCTGGGAAGCCCTCCAGCCCTCTCCCCGCATCCCCGGAATCGCTCCAGAGCTGTATCATGCAGCACTTAGGGGAGGTGGGAGCGCACACTCATGTTGACTCCTTCCCAACCGGGCTGGAGCTCCAGAGGTCTTGGACTTGAGCACAGCTCTGGGCCAGAGGGGAGCTACATGCTCCAGGTTCAGTTCCTGAAGCGCCCGGCTCAGCTGGAAACCCCTGCAGGATGCCTGGGGTCCGGTCCCCTCCGTGCCGGCCTGCATTCTGGCGTGACCCCAGTCCTTCAAAACAAAACAGCACCAGGCTCCAAACGAGCCCCCCCAACTGAAGGGCACTCCTTTCCTCTGTCGTCAGAGCGAGCGGACAGCGGGTGGACAAACAGTTGACAGCACACGCCACAAGTCATTTATTTGCGTTGCCCGCCCGTCTGCACACCTCGGGGCCCCGCGCGGCGGCGGCGGCGGCGGCGGCCTCTGAGCACCCGGGGCTCGGGCGGCGGTGGCGCGGCCCTGACGCCCGCAGGCCGCCGCCGCGCCCGGCCGTCCCCCTCCCGCGGCTCCCGGCGCGCGCTCACGTGTGGCCGCAGCCGCCGATGGCCACGGGCCGGTGGTACACCTCCAGGCAGATGGGGCAGCTGAACTGCGCCTCCAGGCCGCTGTCGCCGCCCGCGGGCCCGGCCGGCGGCTGCCGCTGCTGCGCCGAGGCCACCAGGCTGCGGAACATCGCCATCCCGGGCCAGGCCGCCGCCACCGCCGCCCCCCCGCCCCCCGGTCCTGGCCGGCCGGGCCCGCGTCACCGCCGCGCCGGCGCCGCGTGACGTCACGGGGAGCGCCCGCCACGGTCCCCGGAGACGTCATCGGGGCGCGCCCGCCTGGCCGCCTGCGCTCGGGAGGCGGCGGGCGCAGCCATGTACCAGGCGGGCGAGCACTACGCGGAGCCGGCGCCCCGGGAGCCCCCGCCGGCGCCCAGGCCGGGGTGAGAGCCGCGGGCGGCTCGGACGAGCCCTCGCGTCCCCTGCGGGCGGAGCGGGAGGCCCCCGGCCCGGGCCGGCCTCGGGGGCAGCCGGGAGGGAACGCGGGGCGGGAGCGGGCGACCGTGCGACCTGCTCTCTCTGGTTCTCCCAAGCCGGGCGCAGAAGTGCGTGAAGTGCCGGGAAGGCCTGCCGGTGGTGGTGATCCGCGCGGGCGACGCCTTCTGCCGGTGAGCCGCGCGAGCCCGCCGTCGGCCCCCTGCCGCCCCGGACCGCGCTCTCCGCCGTCGCTGCTCCGAGTGGCCCTGGGGCCTGTCGGGGAAGTGGAGCGCCACTGCCAGGGGGCTGGGCGGTCCCGGAGGGAGCCTGTGGGGAGCGTGGAGAGCGGGCGGCGGCGACCAGGGGCAGGTGCTCCGGGTGGGACGGCGGTCAGAGTTGGAGGGAGAGCTCCGGCCTCCCCGGGCCGCTGGACCGAAGCCTGGGCTTCTCCCGAGGGGCCGGGGCTCGGGTACCTCCCGTCGTGTCTGTGACTCTGGCCGCCCTCGTTTCTTTTGGCCAGTGACCACTTGGTGTTCCCGTTTTCCCTAGGTTGTAGCTCCCCAGGGTTAGGGTTAGATCTCTCCTGTGTTAGCCCTCTCATTCTTAGGGCGGTGTGCCTTATTTTGTATAGCATGTTTATTGGGGGAGTTACCTCATGTCCTTAAGTTGGTCCCCAGAAATCTTGGGCTTTGTTTTTTAAAAAATGTGACAATTAATGTGAATGATTATACTAGATATACTACTTAAAAATATAAAGATATATGCAACATAGTAGATGTAATTTTCTTCTTTTATAATTTATTTTTATTGCTAGTTTTTCTTATGGGGCTTTTTTTTTTAAAGCCAGGATTGAATTCAGGGACTTCTAACCACTGAGACAAACCCCCAGCCTTATCTATCTATCTATTTATTTATTTATTTTGAGACAGGGTCTTGCTAAATTGCTTAGGGCCTCCTCAAATTGCTGGGCCTGGCTTTGAACTCGAAATCCTCCTGCCTCAGCTTCCTGAATCACTAGGATTACAGGTGTGTGCTACCACGCCTGGCTACTGGGAGCCTGCTTTTAAAAATGTTCCTGGGAGAGGAAGAGAGTAAGGAGATTATTTTCCAAACACTTCCTCATTCCTAACCATCCTATATGTGTGGTCTTGAGAAGGGGTGGGAGGCCAGCTCTCCTGGTGCAAGTTTTGAGAATCTAGGTTTTGAGTGAGGTGCTCTGGTGACCCAGACCAGGCATGTGTAGAAACTCTGGCCTTTCCTGGCCCCTGGGAGAGTGGTTTTGTGAGTGCAAAGCCCTTGTTCACAGGAACCCACCACACTGGAACCCCAGCTGGCAAAGCAGGGAATGAATGGCAGGGTTCTCCTCACCCACAGCCAACACCCTTGCCTCCTCATGATCAGACTGTCCTCACTGAGCTGCACCCTGGGAAGTCACTTTCTGTGTCCAGGCACTGGACTGGACCTTGGGCTCATCATTTTACGTTGAAACACTGAGCTGCTGTGGGGTAGAAATATTGGCCCCTGTACCCAGTGCTCATTCGGTGTTGGGAGGCATTGCCATGGACACGGGGTGTGTCTGACAGGAAGGAAGCAGACCTGGGGCACAGGCAGCCTCTCACAGAAGCCTTGCTCCCCTTGTATCCAGCATTGCTCTACCCTGGCTGCATGTTTCTTTGTGGTGCTGAGGGTCAGACCCAGAGCCTTGTGCATGCTAGGCAAACTGAGCTACAACCCCAGAAAAACTTTTAAAATGGAAACTGCTGGGCTTGGGCCTGGGAATCTGACTCAAGTCAGGGAGGGGTCCAGGAGCCAGCTGGAATGTTTTGAGGGCACAACCTCTTGTGTCCTGCTGGAAGTTCTGCTCTGGATTCTGGAGACCCCAGGCTTCTATTTGCTTGTGCTTCAGGGCCATTCATGCTTCATGCTGGCATGAAGGAGTCTCTGGTAGGTGGGCCTAGAGACCCCGAATGTTAGGCACTCTCTGCAGTTTATACAGTGCTCCCCTCTCCCCCTGACATTATTCCAGGGATTGCGCTGCTGCCTGAAGGGCTCGAAACCAGGTTGTCAGCATGTTTCTTCTGAGTTGCTTCTGGCGGGCCTGTTGTTGAAGTGGAGGCACCACTGCCCCGGGGCTGGAAGGTCTCTGAGGGAGCTTATTGGGAGAGTTGAGAACAGGACTCAGGCCCTGCCCCATCTCTTCTGCCAAAAGCCTTCCTGAGCACCCATGGGGTGTTAGATGCAGCCCCATGCCCTGTGTCGCTCACACCTGCTGGGGTCTGGATGGGACTCCAAGAACCTTAGTGCCCCCTGGGGAAGCCCTTTGCCAGCTGCTGGTAGAGCCTCTTTGTGCAGATGCTGCCTGTAAAAGGCTGAGTAACCCAGTGGGGCCCCAGGTTGCTGCCCGTGCTGAGCGTCTGTCTTGCAGGGACTGCTTCAAGGCCCTCTACGTGCACAAGTTCAGAGCCATGCTGGGGAAGAATCGGCTCATCTTTCCTGGTGAAAAGGTAGACCTGAGGCCCTGCTCTCAACACCTGGTGCCTCTTCTGCAGGCAGCCTCTCCCCACTGTAGCCTATCTGGGCTTTGAGGGTGGACTTGGTATCTGGGGCTACCCACGGGTGTGGGGGCACATAGTGTTGAAAGCATGCATCCTGACTAATATTTCTTCTCCCCAGGTGCTCTTGGCATGGTCTGGGGGTCCTTCGTCCAGCTCCATGGTCTGGCAGGTACTTGAGGTGTGTCTATACTACCCTCTAGGCCAGGCTACTGGGCCCAGCTGGGGTGGGGAGCCTTCCTTCTCAGCCAGCACTGAAGGGCAGTTGGTTGGCACTAGGAAGCATCACAGCCCCCAGCTGGGATGTGTATACAGCAGGTACACAAACCAGAGGACGTGTGTAGGCAGAGAGGCAGCACACGCAAGAGGGACAGAGGGAGTGGGTGGGATTGAGTTGCCAACCTGAACTACAGGAGTACCTGAGGGCTCCCCTAGGGCTCGGGGCCTCCGCAGAGGGGAGGGCATGCACACTTCCTCCACGCTTCCTGGGGGGCAAAGCTTCATGGGGCTGGTGAGGAGGCAGTAGCCACTGGGATGGGGTGGGGGTGTCAGCCTGGGTAAGGGCACTGGCCCAGATAGGCACCTGCCTGCAGGGTGATGAGATAAGCCCCTCCTGAGGCTGTTTTGTAGCATCTGGCACTGCTCCTTCCATGCCCACAATGCCCCACCTCCAGTGCCTTGTTGCCTCTGTGTTTTCTGAGTGGTCCAAGGTGCCCAGGCAGGTGGCACAGTGGCCCCTGTGGACCTAGCTGCTTGTCTCAGAGGTTCCTGGGACATCAGGGAGACTGGTGAAAGCAGGTTCTGAGGCTTCTACAGACAGATGTATTTTTCACTGGGGAAGAAAGACCTGTGGCCCACTCCTCAGCAAGGGCAGAGCCTCACCCACAGGGTCTGTCTGGCCAAGTCTGGGTGCCTTTGTTTACTAAAAGGGGGGCTCTTGCCTCCTTTTGGGTTGGCTTTAAAGCCAGAGAAATATTCTTTGCCAGAAAACACCCCATGGGTTCTGGCCAGGGTCTGAGTTCCCAATCCTGACTTCTTTCTCCAGGGCCTGAGTCAGGATTCTGCCAAAAGACTACGTTTTGTGCCAGGGGTTGTCTATGTTGACGGTACGTGGGATTAGGCCCCAACTGGGACCTTTTCCTGAAGGAGACTATGCATTGGACAGCACCCTCGTCCTGGGGTCTCAGACTGTGTTGGAAAGTTGGTGGGGTGTGTGGACAGGAGCACCTGCCTGGCCCTATCATGGGTCCAGTGGCTAAAAAGGGCGAGTTTGGTACTGGTGCCAAGGGGTGGGTGTGGAGGGCTGGGACATCTCTAGCCACTATATGGGAATCCACTGCCTGCTCTGAAGATGGCCCCAGAGGAAAGTGGTGGACACCTGCCATCACCCCAGAAGTTGCTGCCCTTCAAAGCGCAGCCTTGCAGGAAGTTCTTCATGGAGTCAGCGCCTTAGCCTGCGCTGCTCAGGCTTTTCCTCTGTAAGCCCTAACCCCTCTTGCCTGGGATCTGCAGAGGGAGCAGCCTGTGGTCAGAGCCCAGAGGACAGAGCAAAGACTCTGGCTGAGGTGAAGTCAGTCCTACAGAACATCGGCTTTCCGTGGCACACAGTTGCTCTGGAAGAGGTGAAAGGCCCGGGAGGCGACTGTTGGGGTGCCCCAGGGCCACGTGCCTGCTTGCTGGGGCAGCCCTGGAACTTAGCTCCCCACTGGTGTTGGAGGGCAGGTGCCTCACCACGCTCTCCTGTGTTCTGGAAGGTATTTGGCCTGCCACCAGCAGTGCTGCAGGGCTCTGCCCAGGAGCCAGTGGGGACGGAGGAGGCCTACAAGTCTGCTGTGGACAGCTTCCTCCAGCAGCAGCATGTGCTGGGTGGGGAACAGACACACCAGCCCCACACCCAGGACTCCCCGGGGCCCTGCAGCCTGGGCAGGTCCCCCACCGCCACCCAGACTGCGGCCCTCTGCAGACTGTTCGACTCTGTGAGGACACTCACAGCCAAGGAGGAGCTTCTTCAGACCCTGCGGTGAGCCACCCCCAGGGGCCCTGCCCTTTGAGACCCCTCCTCCATTGTCTGCAACCTTCTGCCTCTGCCATAGGACCCACCTCATCCTGCACGTGGCCCGAGTCCATGGCTACTCCAAGGTGATGACCGGGGATAGCTGCACTCGCTTGGCCATTAAGCTCATGACCAATCTGGCCCTGGGGAGAGGGGCCTTCCTGGCTTGGGACACGGTATGTAGGATCTGGACACGGGGTGCCCCTCCCCACACTTATCCCTTGGCTTCCTGCGCAGGATTATTTGTTGATCCTGGGGACTCCCACATGGAAGAGGGTCCTGGGACCTACCTGCAGGCGGGGTCAGCCTGACTGCACCCACCCTTAGGGCTTCTCGGACGAGCGGCATGGGGATGTGGTGGTGGTGCGCCCCATGCGGGACCACACGCTGAAGGAGGTTGCCTTCTACAACCGCCTGTTTGCTGTCCCCTCTGTCTTCACACCAGCCATTGACACTAAGGTGGGCCCACCAGGTTAGCTGCAGGGGTGGGAGTGGCCTCCTCTGGGCTGACACTGAGGTCCTAGTGGCCCCTTGGGGCCTCAGTACTTGCCACCTGCCTCTGGTAGTGCCAATAGTAGGGTCCTCTGGGCACACCTGCTCCTTGGAGGGGTAACTGGTACCCTGTCCTGTCTCTGAGGGGAATGATGGGGTGGCCCTTTGGAAGTGGGTTCTGTGCTGCTTTCCCCAGAAAGGGTAGACCCAAGGGCTGGCTGTGTGGAGCCACTCCAGGGGACCTTGATCTGTACTAGGGCCCTCCCTTAGCCCTATCCAATTTTCCTAGGCCCCCGAAAAGGCCAGCATCCACCGGCTGATGGAGGCCTTCATCCTGAGGCTGCAGACCCAGTTCCCCTCCACCATCAGCACTGTGTACAGGTAGGTGTGAAGGGGCACTCTGCCTGGGAGGGCGCAGAGCCCCTGGCCAGGGCCCCCGTGGGACTACTCGCTGCCCTCTCGCAGGACAAGTGAGAAGCTGGTGAAGGCCCCCCGGGAGGGCTGTGCTGCCGGCCCCGTAGGGCCCCGCTGTCTCCTGTGCTTGTGCGCGCTGGACGTCGACACTGATGGTCTGCACCTGGGGTGCTGGGTTGGGGAGGGAGTGGGTGTGGGTTCAGGAGCTCCAGGTTCCCTCTGCTTACAGACAGTGCCACAGCTTTTGGAGCTCAGACCTCGCGTCTCTCCCAGACACTGCTGTCCACCCCGCCAGCTGAGGCTGGGACAGCCACAGGGCCTGGCTGCGTTGCAGGGGAGGGCCAGGCCTGCTGCAGGGTAGCCTGCAAGTGAGTCCTTGCCCCATCTGTGGCCAGCTGGGGTCTGGGGGACCATGGCCTAGGGCAGCACCAGGACCAGGCACACAGCTCAGCTATGTCCACAGGAAGGGTGTCCAGGCCCAGGTCATGGAGCAGCTGTGCTATGGCTGCCGGGTGAACATGAAGGACCTGGTGAGTAGGGCTGCCCTGCGCCACTAGAGCCCTTGCTCCGAGGTGTCAGGTGGCCTGGGGCACAGCTCCTCACCTACACGGCTTCCATCGCAGCCTTCTCTGGACCCTCTGCCCCCCTACATCCTGGCCGAGGCCCAGCTCCGCAGCCAGAGGTACTGGTGCCCCCTCTGCTGGAAGACTCCTGGTGGGTGGGAGCCCTTCAGGGTGGGTTCCCACTGCACACTTCCCCAGGGATTGGGTCATGCCGGAGGTCCAGGAGTACCTGATCGAGGACAGTGACTCTGAGGCAGAAGATGCGCTCGCCCAGCCCCCAGGAGCAAGGCTGACCACACAGGAGCAGGGAGGCGAGAATGCAGGGACTGGCCTGTGACTGTCCACGTGTATAAATAAAAATGTTTTTAATTAGAAAACTCTACAGTACGCATTGGGAAGGGAGGGCCAGGCCCCCAGGCTCGGTGTGGCCAGTCCTGGGCCCACAGGGGCAACAGGTGGGGACATAGCATCCTTCTGACAGCAGCATCAGGGCTCAGGTGGGCCAGGGAGGACATGTCACAGCTCATGGCCCTGACTGGGGACAGCTGTGCCCCTGGCCCAAGGAGCACCACCAGCCCTGGTGGCCCTGCTGCCCGTGGGGCGGTGCCTTCATTCCCGGTGCCAGGAGCCAGGCTCCTACTCCTTCTCGCGCGTCCACTTGATCATGGTCTCTGGGGAGCGGTACAGGAAGATGAGCTTGGCGTACAGCTCCTCCTCCAGCTCCAGTTCACGGGTCTCGCGCACCAGGAAGATGTCTTGGCACAGCTTGAGGATGCGGTCCACAAAGGGCAGCTCCTCGAACATGATGGAGTGGGAGGCCTCGCTGAAGAAGCCCCTCACGAACTTGCCGATGACGAGCACGATGGACACGTACAGCCCCACGATCCTGCAGGGTGACCAGTGAGGCTGGGCTGCTGCCAGAGCCCCCCACCAGCCTTGTGGGGTGTCCCCAGGCCCCTCACTCACCCGTAGCCGGCCAGGAAGCCGAGGCTGGGGGGGCTGACCTTGTCGCTGAAGATCACCATGGGCAGCAGGTTGCAGTCCATGTGGCAGTCCTGCAGCTCCACCACCCACCACTCCAGGAAGCCGGCAGCCCCCGTCCCCACCTGCTCCCTCCGCAGCTGGATGCGCACACCGAGGTAGTCGGCTTCCTCGTCTGGGTCAGAGCCGGGGGGGATGGTTGGAACTAGGAGGCGCCCCCCCCCCCCCCCCCGCGCCCAGAGCCCAGGTGGTCCCGGCCCCTAGTTGCCCACACTCACTGGGCTGCAGCTGCTTCACGGGGTTGGCTTCAGGCCCGTTGGGGGCGCGGATGTACTTGGGGAAGAGGTGGGGGATGACCCTATGGGGAGAGCACATGGGCTGGGTCAGGCCCAGGGCTCCCCCAACCCCTGCCCACCCCACCAGGACCCCCCACTCACACGGACTGGTCCGAAGTGCCCTCCAGCAGGCGGGCCAGCTGCCGCCGTGCCGAGCTGTCAGGGGCCAGCTCCAGGGTGTGCTTCTCATTGGTGTACTCCACCTTGCCGCCCTTGGCCAGGTCCCTGGAGGCGGACAAGCATGAACCCCTGCAGGGAGCACCCACCCAGTCCCCGGGGCACAGCACCCACCTCTGGAAGTTCCAAGTAAAGCGCAGGGTGATGTCGGCAGTGCCGTTGTACAGTTCTCGCTTCATTTGAGCCCGACTTGGGGGGCTGATGCGCCACAGGGCCCCAGAGCTGCCCTCGATGTGAGCTGTGACGATGTCCTCGGGACTATACTGGCTAATGAACTGCATGGCCAGCTGTGGCATGGCATGCTTCAGTGGGGGTGGCCACCCCCACACCCACCAGGCCATCCCCTCTCACCACATGGACACAGCCTGGGGGCCACTCACCGGGTGGGTGTCAAACTGCCGGGACAGTTCCTCATAAGCTTCAGGTGTAAAGGGCACGATGGACGGCTGCTGGGCACTCATGGTGAACAGGGGCTGGCGGGGGACAGGGCAGCTGGTGGGCACCAGGGTGGGTGATGGGGAACCTGGTGGTCACGGACAGGCTGGGGGTGGCGCTCCGTGAGACATCGGGGAGCGGAGGGGCCTCTGCCCTGCTTTCCAGGGCAGCTCACCTCATAGCCGCCCAGCTTGAGAGTGACGGTGACATCGATGGGCTGGTTGACAACGCCGACCACGGAGCGCACCAGTGACATGAAGAGCAGTGGGAACCAGATGATGGCGATGAGGAAGACGATGATGAGGCCGCCCATGCCGTACTTGACGATCTTCTTCTTCCTCTGCCCCTTGGGCTGGGGGTATTTCTGGGGCAAGACACAGGTCACCCAGCCCCTCAGGGCCACGGTCTCTAGCCTCCAGCTGGGGTCAGCACAAAGCTACGGTGGCCAGCCTGGGGCAGAGTGGGCACAGACACGCAGCTGGACCTAGACAGGCCAGGGGTCCAGTGGGAGCATCCCCAAGGAATGCGCTGGCTTGGCCCAGCCTGCAGGCAGCCCCCCTGCAGCCAGGCCCCGGCGCATGAGCCTCAAGGCATCATCTTCATGACCTCTCAGGTTAACAAGACGGGAGCCATGAAGGGAAGAAAGTAAACTTGTGCTTCAAAAGACACCAGCCTGGGAGCATGTCCCCAAACTAGCTGTCTGGAGAGGACCAGAATATACACAGAGCAACAGCAGCTCACTTCCCTGAGCACATCCCCAGCCTGTTTTACTTTGAGACAGTTCTTGCTGCAGTCTCAAACTTGGGATCCTCCTGCCTCAGCCTCCCGAGTTGCTGGGATTATAGGCACTTGCTACCATGCCTGGGCTCCAGAGGGTTTCGGAGAACCCTTCCTTTGACCTGTGGTTGGCTTCTGGCTCCTGTCCACACAGGCAGAGCCTCTGGGGAAGCAGTACCCTGCTGTCCCTCCCCCAGGCCTGGTCCTACCTTCTCTGTCTCTCGACTACACTTGATGATGAAGATGTTGGCGTAAATGTCCTCCACACACATCCAATTTGACAGGGACAGGGTGGTGTCTGTCCACACCCAGTCCATGACTGCCCGTAGCTCCACCAGGAATGGCACCAGCCGGAACCTGCCAGGTCAGGATCCCATCAGGAGGGTCTCCCATGCTAGGTCTGACAGGCTACCTAGCCCAGCTGCCCCTTGCTCTCAGTGACCCCTGGGCAGACTACTCACCCCTGAAAAAGGAAGAGGTTCAGGTGGTTGTACTTCTTGGTGAGGAAGTTGCCCAGGATGCGGGTGGGGTAGCCGCAGCGGATCTGGTAGGCGGACAGGGCAAAGTAGATGCACTTCACGAAGTACCACAGCTGGGCCACAGCATTCTGGCTGAACATCCTGGGACAGGGTGGCAGGGACCGTCAGAGACGGAGGCTGACCAGGCCCTGCCCTGCGTCGTGCCCACCCCAGGATGGAGACCCCACCTCTCGGTGACGGCTGGCAGGATGAAGAACATCCAGAGGTGTATGGCGAGCACCAGCACCACCTGGAAAGCCAGCTTGCCCAGCACGGTCTTGCGCAGGTAGAGGGCACGGTCCACCACCATGGTGCTGAAGTGGATCAGCAGCATGACCAGGAAGGCCTCGGGCACCTGGTCATCTGACAGGGAGGACGTGATGTCTGTGGCGGCCGAGTGCTTCTGTAGCCAAAGGGCAGAGGAGGGGAGCTGGAGCTGGGCCGCTGGCAGCGGCGGGGCTGCACCCACCCGGGCAGCCAGCCCTGCTCACCCCAAAGGCCCAGAAGCCAAAGATGATGATGATGAAGTCCACAACGTCCGCCAGGAACATGAGGACATAGACGTCTGTGGCCGCCCGGTACTTGGTGTGCAGGATGTCATGGAAGAAGCGCTGCAGGGGCTGGTATATGCTCTGTGCCCTGTGGGAGGGGGCTCAGCTGGGTGCCTGGCCATAGGGACCCCCTCCCTGCCACGTGGAAAGAAGGGCCGGCCACTCACAGGGACAGGCAGAAGCTCTGCAGCCAGCGTGCGGCTGCCTTCATCCGTTCTTGAGAACGGCTCGGCCCCTTCTTTCCCGCCGCCTCTTCCTCCTCTTCCCCATCCACAGCTTCTGTGGGCGAGAAGTGTGGAGGCTGAGCCCACGGGGGACTGGGCCTGGCTTCTGGCCACTTCACAGAGAAGCAGACAGCACAGGGGCCTCTTCCTGGCCCTGTCAAGGGGCAGCTGAGGCCAGCCAGGGCACATGCTCTGCTGCTGGCCCTGTAGACAGCAGTGTACCTCTCTGTTCCCCTGGAAGAGCCAGAACCCACAGCCAAGTGCTGTCCTGTCCTGGAATCCAGCTGGTCCCCTGCTGGGCCTGGCACCTCCAAGGGATGGGATGGGCCGTCTGGCCTCCTCTACCTCCCCTGAAACAGCCGAGAGCCAGCACTGCCTGTGAGAACCAGTGGGACTGAGCTGTGGTCAGGGCTCTCTCACCCATGGCTGCTGCTCCTGCGGGTCCAGGCCTCTCCTTCCTCCTCCTGAAACGCAGGCTGATTCGTCTTGTGTCCTGAGGCCTGAAGTCCACCTGGGGCTCTGGAGCCCCATCCTCAGGAACCGCCCTCGCTTCTACCTGGATGTCGTCCTTGGTCGTGGCTCCTGCCACCCCCAGCTCTGCCTGGGCTCCCAGTGGGACCTCTGGCCCCGCCTCAGCCCCCTGATCCTTCCCACTGCTCCTGCTGTGCTCCTTGGGGCACTGGTCCTCTTCATGGTCCCAGAGGCCGTAGCACTGTGTGGAGGGCCAGGAGGGACAGTGAGGACACCAGCTGAAACATGCCGGGACCAGGCAAGATGGCCAGGCCCACCCTGGGCTGCCCACTGTCTAGCCCGCGAGCCCCGGGGTGCTGGGTGCGTGCTCACCAGCAGCTGGGAGCGGTGGAAGAAGAGCACCATGAGCTGCAGCAGGTCGCACTTGGTGTAGCTGTCCGTCTTCTCCAGGCCCAGGATGCGCGGGGGGAAGTAGGGCTTGTTCTCGTAGCGCCTCAGCACCAGGTGGCTGTTCCAGGGGAAGAAGCCAAACTGGAACAGGTACTTGGTGACCACCGTGACCTGCAGAAGAGGGGGTCAGCACGGGGCCAGGCTGCCCCCTCCCTGGCCCCACTGGCTGCAGCCCACCTCCGTGAAGATGATGGCTGTCATCCAGAAGCGCTTGCTGGGCCTGGGGATGGACAGCATGGCCCACAGGAAGATGAGCACGGGCAGCACCAGGGAGGCAGCCGAGGCGGTGACCATGTGGTTGAGGATGATGATGAAGTAGCAGAGCAGCTCCGAATGTGCGGCCACGCACTGGCACACGGCCTGCAGCAGCCGCAGCGTCCGGCCCTGCTCTGCCGCAAAGCTCTCGGCCTGCTCCAGCTCGGGGATGTGCAGGCACCTGCAGAGGGACCACCTGGCTGCAGCCATGCAGGCAGGTGGCTCCGACCCTCCTTGCCCAGCCCCACCCCACCCCACCTGTCCAGGAGCAGCTCGCTGGCTGTGCGCGTCCGCACGCGGGCGTTGGCCAAAAGCTCCTGGGAGCCCTGCAGGGAAGCCTGGTCCCGGGAGTCGGTGGCAATCTCCTCACTGCCACTGCGGGTGCTGTAGCCGGTGCTCAGGGGGCTGCTGGTGTCATCTGTGAGGCTGCTCAGGGGCTCCTCAGCGCCCAGCCCACTGTGGGAGGGGAGCCAGGTCACAGGGCTGGGATCAGCCCCGGCTTTGGGGCTGAGAGCAAGGAGGGAGGAGCTGCCCAGGTTCAGCTCCAGCCCCCTCAGTCCTCCACCCACCTGGACACTGTGCTGGGTCCATCACGGGCCTCTGGGGGGCCTGGCAGAGTGGTCTCAGCTGCACTCACATACAGCTGGTCCAGTACGCTCCGGTGCACCTCTCCACCCTGCAGGGCGTGGGGGGTCTCAGGGCTCTGCTCCTGACGGGCAGGGCAGCACCCAGCAGGATGGGGAGGGGTCTGCAGTGGGTGTGACCGCGCAGCTCACCCGCAGGAGCTCCTGTGTTAGCAGGTAGCGCTCTGCCCGCAGCACGTCGCTCATGGTGCGGTGGTGCCTGGTGAAAGCACACAGCCAGCGGGTCAGCCCGTCCACCGTAGCCTGGCCAAGCACCCACAAGAACCGCACGGTGCCCAGCACGCGCTGCATGACGTGGCCTCGGCCTGGAGGGAGGGAGGAGATGCTGAAACAGGGGTTGGCCAGGAGAGTCCTGATCCCTGCCCTTGGGCCCACTCACCTGCCACCTCATCCTCGAGGGCTTCCACGGGCTCCCCCAGGCTCGGGTCACCTCCTGATACAGGGGACTGGTCAGGGTCTCTCAGCTCTGCAGGTCCCCACCACAGCCCTGCCGCAACTCACCAGCAGGCAGCTGCCCTTCCTGGTGCACCCGCTCCTGCTGCGCCTGCTCCCGCCGCTGCCTCAGCACTGTCTGGGCGTTGGTCACCCAGGCCTGGTACGCCATCTGCCAGCCCAGGAGTGGGTCAGGGCCCTGGCCCCAGCCCTGGCTGCTGTACCAGCTGGGGACCTGGCTGCCTTGCACTTCCTCTGGAAATGGGACCCCAGGGCTGCAGTGGGAGGGCACAGTGAATGCAGCCCACCCACAGGTCCTTGCTACTCAGCACCAGGGCCCCACACTGAGAACCAGAACCAAGGACGAGAGGGCCCTTCTGGCCCCAGGACACAAAT